GCAGCAGCAGCAGCAGCACCCCTGCCCCTCGGGGACTTTTGGAGACACTTCGAAAAGTGTCTCCTTTTCAAATTGCAAAACTTGCAAAGAGGGACACCGCTGCCCCACCCCCGCCACCGTCATTCTCGCAGACGACGACCCCAAGACCCTCTGCCCCCAAGGTGCTGCTGCTGCTGCTGCTGCTGCTGCTGCTGCTGCTGCTGCTGCTGTGGATGCTGCTGTGGATGCTGCTGTGGATGCTGCTGTGGGTGCTGCTGTGGGTGCTGCTGTGGGTGCTGCTGCTGCTGCTGTGGGTGCTGCTGCTGCTGTGGACGCTGCTGCTGCTGCTGCTGTGGATGCTGCTGCTGCTGTGGATGCTGCTGCTGCTGGTGTGGAGGCTGTGGGTGCTGCGGATGCGGCGGGGGGCTTGCTGCTGCTCGGCTGGGTGGTGTTGGATTGCTGCTGCTGCAGCAGCACCAGCTGCTGCTGCTGCTGCTGCTGCTGCTGGTGCCTGCGGAGGCAGGTTGGGGTCCGCTCGTGAGCGGCTGCGCGGCTCCCCCGCGGTCTGCGCAGCAAACCCCGAACCGCAAACCCCAAACCCTAAACCCTAAACCCTAATTTGTGGTTTGCCGCAGGGTACTACTGTCCGGCGGGTTCTTCCGCAGCTCCTGTCGCCTGCAGCCCAGGGTTTTACTGTCCGCCGGGTTCCCAAACCCCGGTGGTTTGTGGTTTAGGGTTTTACTGCCTTTCTGCTGCACTTCCTAAACCCTCGGGCAGGTGCAGCGGGGGTTTTGTTTGCAAAGAAAGAAACACTTCTCCAAACCCTCAAAAGGAGACTCAAGGAGACACTTGTCCCGAAAACGCCCAGGGATACCCCTGTCCCGAGGGACACTACTGCTTCACAAGTGACCGAGGGCTTAGGGTTTAGGGTTTAGGGTTCACGGGGGTTTACGGGGGTTTATGAGGGTTTACGGGGGTTTAGGGGGGGTTTTGAGGGTTTTTGAGGGTTTTTGAGGGTTTGTGAGGGTTTGTGAGGGTTTTCGGGGTTTTGTGAGGGTTTGTGGGGGTTTATGAGGGTCTGTGAGGGCTTCTGAGGGTTTTAAAAGGTTTTATGAGGGTTTACGAGGGTTTGCGAGGGTTTGCGAGGGTTTATTTGCATGGTGGGGTTTTGAGGCTTTATTAGGGTTTACTACGCTTGGCCACTTGGGCTGGGGTTTGCAGGTGCAGCGTTTAGGGTTTAAGGGCTAGGGTTTAGGGTTTACGAGGGTTTACGAGGGTTTACGAGGGTTTAGGGTTTGGGAAGACGACACAGTGCGGGCGAGGGCCTAGGGTTTAGGGTTCAGGGTTTAGGTTTTGGGGTTTAGGGTCTAGGGTTTAGGGTTTAGGGTTTAGGGTTTGCGCAGATCCGGTGGTGGACACAATAGCTGGGACTGGGGAGACTGGCGCTGCTGGCGACGGGGGTTTAGCAGCAGCAGCAACTTTTAATTTGCTGCTTGCTGCTGCTGTTAGTGCAGCACGAGATGAGCTGATTGTGACTGACGCAGCAGAAGGCAGAGTCGCCTCAATCAACCTCTCTTCAGGTAGGGTTTAGGGTTTAGGGTTTAGGGTTTAGGGTTTGGGGTTTGGGGTTTGGGGTTTGGGGTTCAGGGTTTGGGGTTTCGGGCTTACGGTTTTGGGCTTGGGGTGGGCGGGGTCGATTTCGGTGATTTGCGGCTTGGAGCCTAGGGTTTAGGGTTTAGGGTTTAGGGTTTAGGGTTTAGGGTTTAGGGTTTAGGGTTTAGGGTTTAGGGTTTAGGGTTTAGGGTTTAGGGTTTAGGGTATAGGGTTTGGGGTTTAGGGTCGTGGGACATCTTCTAGGAGGGGCTTTTTTATAATTCTCTTTTCTCTGGCTCAATCAGCTGCTGCTTTTGAATAATTAAATGAAATTAATTTAATTAATTTAATTAATTTAATTTAATTAATTTAATTTAATTGTTTTAATTTAATTGTTTTAATTTAATTTGCAATTAGGTATTCTCACGGATATCTACAAAGGGACTGGAGAGCCTGCAGGCGTTGCTGTCTCCTCCGATGGCCAAACCGCTTACGTCACCTTTGCCAGTAAACTGCAGGGTTTAGGGTTTAGGGTTTAGGGTTTAGGGTTTAGGGTTTAGGGTTTGGGGATGGAGTTAAGGGCGCAGGGTCTCGGGACTGGAGCTCAGCGTTTAGGGTTTAAGGTTTGGGGTTATGGTGTGGCGCTCAAAGTTTGGGGTTGGGGCTTAGGGTTTAGGGTTTAGGGTTTAAAGGTTAGGGTTTAGGGTTTAGGGTTTAGGGTTTAGGGTTTGCGTGCAGCGGAGGGGACAGTGCGCGCGCTGTCTCTGGCCACAAAAGGAGACACTTCTGTAGTGGGGGGGCTTTCGAGTCCCCGCGGAATTTCTTTTTTTGAAAAAGAAAAAAAACTTTTTGTTGCAGAAGAAAAAAATAATTTTGTCTCTTCTGTCTCCCTCAGCGACAAGTCCACAGCCCCCTACGTGGGGGCCGGAGCCACGGGTCCGCAGGGTTTAGGGTTTAGGGTTTAGGGTTTGGAGTTTAGGGTTTAGGGTTTGGGCTTTGGGGTTTAGGGTTTAGGGTTTGGGGTTATTTTTCTGTTTCGGGGTCTATTTGTACGGCGTTTTGTCTCGTGTATTGATTGTTATTCTGCAGATTTATGTATTTATTTATTTATTTATTTATTTATTTATTTGTTTGTTTTTTTATTTATTTATTTATTTATTTATTTATTTATTTATTTTTCTGCTGCAGTTGATATAGAGCTAAACAGTCCGCGGGCCGTCGCAATGTCTCCTGACGGCGTTTTATATATTGCAGATACTGGCAACAAGAGAGTAACCCTAAACCCTAAACCCTAAACCCTAAACCCTAAACCCTAATGCCTAGGGTTTGAAAGCTGTAGCGGCGTTGGGTGCTTGTTTTTGCTGCCAGGGTTTAGGGTTTAAAACGCCAGCTGGAAGCGGGGCCTTTGCCGGGTCTAGGGGTTAGGGTTTAGGGTTTAGGGTTTAGGGTTTGCGTTTTGTGCGTTTTAGCTGCTGCAAGTGGTGGAGGGAAAGGCGGAAGAAATAGAAATAAAAGAAAGTTCCAAAACAACTTTAAAAGATGAAAATATAAAATACAAATTGGGAACCATTGAGGCTCTCGTCTACACAGAAATCCAGGGTGTAAGCGCCTAGGGTTCAGGGTTTAGGGTTTAGGGTTTAGGGTTTAGGGTTTGCGGTGAGAATTGCAAAATGCTTTTTGTTTTTTTTTCTGCGTTCACTGTTTTTCGCGCGTTTTTTATTTAATTTCCTTTTTTAAATTAAATTCATTTGATTAGTTTTAATTAATTAAATGAATTAATTATTTATTTATTTCTTTTCCCCTTTTTATTAATAAACTTTTTTTCCAATTTTTTTCTCTCTTTTGCTGCAGCCCGCTCTTATTATGTCCGACTCAGAAAACCATGTGTCCGTCTAAAAGGCCTTTATCCTGCTGCTGCTGCTGCTGCTGCTGCTGCTACCTTGCTGCTGCTAATGCTGCTGCTGGGGCTTTTCTGTGTTGCAGCTGCCTCGTTGCTGCTTCTACTCTCTGCTGCTGCTGCCGCCTCACTGCTGCTGCTGCTGCTGCCGCCTCACTGCTGCTGCTGCTGCTGCCGCCTCACTGCTGCTGCTGCTGCTGCCGCCTCACTGCTGCTGCTGCTGCTGCCGCCTGGCCGCCGCTGCTGCTGCTGCTGCCGCCTGGCTGCTGCTGCTGCTGCTGCTGCTGCAGCAGGGCCTGGGCTGCAGGGTTTGCGATTAGGGTTTGGAGTTTGGACCTGGAAACTCACGAAATGGAACATCTTTTGGGAAATGGCAAGAAGGGTTTTAGCGGAGACGGGCGAATAATGCCAGCAGCAGAGTCTGGTGTCGATACACCCCACGGGCTCGCCGTCAACGACCAGGCGAGTTCCGCAAACCCTCGAAAACTCGCCGTTTTCGGGACTTTGAACGCACTTAAAACACCAAATGAGAGGTTAGGGAATGCCTAGTTGAACTGCTCGAAAAAAAAGGGCTTGGAAACCCGAAAAAGCGCAAAAACCGCGAAAAACGCCGCCGTGTGGGCTGGGGTGTACGTACAGCTGGGGAGCCCCACCGCTGCGGTGTACGTACTGGACCGCGGCAACCGGCGGGTGCGGAAAGTGTTTTTGTTGAAAAAAGAAAAAAAAGAAATAAAAGAAATAAAAGGAAAAAAAGAAATAAAAGAAATAAATGAAACCAACGGAGACTCTTCGCCTTCTCCCTGTCCCGAAGGCACTTTCCTCAATGTCCAAGGCGCAGCCACCCCCGAGGACTGCATCCCCTGCCCTGCAGGTCCTGCTGCTGCTGCTGCTGCTGCTGCTGCTGCTGCTGCTGCTGCTGCTGCTGCTGGGGCCGCTGCTGCTGCTGCTGTGGCTGTGGCTGCTGCTGGTAGTGCTGCTGCCGATACTGCTGCTGATGATAATGCTGCTGCTGCTGCAGGTAGTGCTGGTGCGGAAAATGCTGCTGCTGCTGATGTTAGTGCTGCTGCTGCTGCTGCTGATAATTCTGCTGCTGCTGCTGCTGCTTCGAATTTGTGTCGTTTCGTCTCGTTTTTTTTGCTTCTTGGAGTGTGCGGGGTTTGCATGTCCCCCTTTAGCGGTTTGTCTCCCGGAGGGGCAAGTCCCTCTTTTGTGGTTTGTCCCGCCAGGGTTTGGAACTCGCTGTTTTGTGGTTTGCATCTCTAGGGTTTGCATGCCAAGGGGAGGGCCAGCCCGAAATCACCGCGAGGTGCAGCGAGGGTTTTTACTGCCCCGAAGGCAGCAGCAAAACGAACGCAGTAATTTGTCCCAAGGGACACTTCTGCAGCAATCCGGAGAGTGGGTTTTGCAACATTTGCTGCTCCTTTTCTTCTTTTTGTTTCTTCTTGTCTCCACTTCTTTATTTCTTTTGTTTTCTTTCGTTTCCTCCTTTAACTGCCCCCAAACAAAGTCCATTTGGCTTCAATCCCGAAAATCCCACTCCTGCTGCTGCTGCTGCTGCTGCTGCTGCTGCTGCTTTTGACTGCCCCCAAACGGAGTCCATTTGGCTTCAATCCCGAAAACCCCACTCCTCCTCCTCCTGCTGCTGCTGCTGCTCTGCTGCTGCTGCTGCTGCTGCTCTGCTGCTGCTGCTGCTGCTGCTGCTGCTGCAGGCGTGTACGTGAACGTGGCGCTGGACGCAGCAGTGGAGACGTGGCCGGTGGGGGACTTTTCGGGTGTACATACACCCGAAAACGCGGTGGACGGAGACACCGCAGCAGCCAGCGGCTGGCTGTCTGTACATACACCCGGAGGGCCCCACGAACTTTTAATTGATTTCAAAAGTCTCTTTTTCATTAATCAAATTTCCATCTTTTCGGGAGACTCTCGGGGAGACTACGTGGGCCTTCTTTTCTTCATTTTGTTTTCTTTTATTTTCTTTTGTTTTCTTTTTCTTTTATTTTCCTTTTGTTTTCTTGTATCCTCCTTTTGGTTTCTTTTTATTTTCTTTTTGTTTTCTTTTTGTTTTGTTTTATTTTCTTTTTGTTTTGTCTTATTTTCTTTTTGTTTTCCTTTGATTTTCTTGTTTATTTTCTTTTTGTTTTCTTTTTGTTTTGTTTTGTTTTTGTTTCTTTTTGTTTTCTTTTTTTGCCCTTTTTGTTCTTTTTTGTTTTTCTATTTTTTGCTTTTTCTTTACTCATTTTCTTGCTTTTCTTTTCTCTTTTTTCTTCTTTCATTTTTCTCTTTCTTTGTTTTCTCTTTTTTCTCTTTTATTCTTCTTTTTGTTTTTTTCTTTTTCGTCTTTTTATTTCTCTTTTTATTTTTCTCTTTTTTCTGTGTTTGCTTTTCTCCTTTCTTCTCTTTTATTAATTTTTTTATTTTTCCTTCTTTTTTTCATTCTTTTATTTTCACTAATTCTCCATTTTCGTGTCGATTTATTTCTTCTCATTTTATTGAATTTCTAATTTTCTGCTGCTTGTGGCTGTGTGCTGCTGCTGCGCGCGCGCAAACCCTAATTTGGGGTTTGCAGAGACTATCCTCCTTTTCAGTGTTTTACTACCACGCCGCCTCCAGTTCCTTTTTGGAACTTCTAACTGTCTCCGAAAATGAAGAAATTAAAAAAGTTATTTCTTTCGGAGAAATTCCAACAAAAAAAATTAAACTCCAAACCCTCCAAGACCAAGTCTTCATTGCAGAAGTCCAAGTCCAAGGCACCAGCTCCCCAGGCACGCCAGGGTTTAGGGTTTAGGGTTTAGGGTTTGAGATTGGGCTTGGGGGGGGGGCTTAGGGTCTAGGGTTTTGGGATTACGGTTTAGGGTTTAGGGTTTAGAGCGTCAGGTTTAGGGGTTAGGATTTTGGGCTTCGGGTTAAGGGGATTGCGCTAATCGAGTTAGGGTTTAGAGTTTAGGGTTTAGCGTTTAGCCTTTGGGCTTTTGGGTTTCGGGTTTACGCTTTACACGCTATGCCTTGTGGCTAAAGGGTTAGGGTTTAGGGTTTAGGGTTTAGGGTTTAGGGTTTGCTGCAGGGCCTGCTGCTGCTACTCCCTGCGGGCCTGGGCGCTACCAAGAGCGTTTGGGGCAGCGGGAGTGTGCAGCTCTCGGGCTTGCGGGCTGGGGCCTAGGGTTTAGGGTTTAGGGTTTAGGGTTTAGGGTTTAGGGTTTAGGGTTTAGGGTTTGCTGCAGGGCCTGCTGCTGCTACTCCCTGCGGGCCTGGGCGCTACCAAGAGCGTTTGGGGCAGCGGGAGTGTGCAGCTCTCGGGCTTGCGGGCTGGGGCCTAGGGTTTAGGGTTTAGGGTTTAGGGTTTAGGGTTTAGGGTTTAGGGTTTGCTGCAGGGCCTGCTGCTGCTACTCCCTGCGGGCCTGGGCGCTACCAAGAGCGTTTGGGGCAGCGGGAGTGTGCAGCTCTCGGGCTTGCGGGCTGGGGCCTAGGGTTTAGGGTTTAGGGTTTAGGGTTTAGGGTTTAGGGTTTAGGGTTTGCTGCAGGGCCTGCTGCTGCTACTCCCTGCGGGCCTGGGCGCTACCAAGAGCGTTTGGGGCAGCGGGAGTGTGCAGCTCTCGGGCTTGCGGGCTGGGGCCTAGGGTTTAGGGTTTAGGGTTTAGGGTTTAGGGTTTAGGGTTTAGGGTTTAGGGTTTGCTGCAGGGCCTGCTGCTGCTACTCCCTGCGGGCCTGGGCGCTACCAAGAGCGTTTGGGGCAGCGGGAGTGTGCAGCTCTCGGGCTTGCGGGCTGGGGCCTAGGGTTTAGGGTTTAGGGTTTAGGGTTTAGGGTTTAGGGTTTAGGGTTTGCTGCAGGGCCTGCTGCTGCTACTCCCTGCGGGCCTGGGCGCTACCAAGAGCGTTTGGGGCAGCGGGAGTGTGCAGCTCTCGGGCTTGCGGGCT